TCTCTTCGTCGGCGGGGGGTTGGGAGGGGGAGTATATGTTTGGGGTTGGGTTTGGGCCTTGGAGTTGGACGTGGACGTGGACGAGGGGGGTGTAAGATTAGAGAGATGGGATTGGGATGGGAGATTGTAATGTAAGTTGGATATACGTATGAGGTTGGGTTCGAGAAGTGTCACTCTACTCAAAAGACTTGGGGGGTATTTCGAAAAGAAAGAAAGACACGCCTTGGATATGAAAAGGTAATGGAAGTGGGGAATCTGGGTTAAAGTATATAAACAGATGTTCATGATTGGACGAGATATTATATGGGTGGTTATTTTCTAAATCGGCATTTTTCTAAAGAATGGAGCGTGTATTAGGTAGACTTTGATCTTTGAGATGTAAAAAAACTATCATCAGAAAAACAGCAGATAAGCATAAGAATAAAAGATACACAAAAGGATTTTTGAAACAATACTACCCACCTACCTACCTACCTACCTCTCCCTTCCTTCCCTTCCCTCCTAAAACAACACTTAGATAAATCCCATGCAAATGCTAAATATTAGATTTTATGAAAGATATCAAGACCCATTGTTGCTAAAAGACGAGTGGGGTAGTACTTACACACCACCCTAGGAAAGAGAAGAAAAGCAAAGAAAAGGATTGGAAGAAGATTCTTCATCAGGTGCTGTTATGCGTATATTTAAATATCCCCTCCCTCCTCCCTCCCACCTTCCAATCGGGCTTTTCCTAAATACGGTAAGTAGGGTTTCGATGAGATCTTATTTTACGTACCCTAGGTATCGGGACCTTATATACTTCAACCAAAAAGGACTCAGGAGGAATTCCAAATTTTATGTTTAACGTGATAATGATATCTACAGTAATATGGATAGTACGAAAACTGGTGCATGTACGTCGTTACCTTATATCGTACCTCGTCTTGTCCTCCCACTGTACCTTACTGTCCATATCACATGCCATACAGTACTACAACCCAGGAACCACCAACCCCAAGTTCCACAACATCAAAACCATCATCACAAGTTATCAAATCACAAACTCCACACCTCACACCTCACACATCACGATCACACATCACATCAAAACACTCCACAAAGAAACAATTTACATAAAAGTATTGATATTCATTATATTCGCATCAGCATCAAAAAGGTGCGAGCGTCTCAGTAGTAGCAGTAGTCCCCAGACAATGATCTTGTTCTTATCCAGCCAGGCAGCCAGCACAGCAGCAGCAGCGTCATGTTTTCGCCCCATCTCCTCAACAAATGTTGCTGCCAAATCGATAAACCAGTTTGTGTAGTCGAGGCGGGTAGTTGTAGTCTCTCTCTCTCTCTCTCTCAAATCTCTTTTTTTTTGGGCTTTCCTCGCAGAAATGTCAAAAAAAGAAAAGAAAAAGAAATCAGAGAGCAGCAAAACTAAACCAGACAGACCAAACCAATTCAGAATAGACAAGAGTAGCGCCCAGATTGAAAGTCTTCAAATACGCCAAACCCTAGTTGTATCCACTCCCCACCCCCTTCCAATCACAACAGAATCGGAAAAAAAAGTTGGGACATTCAATGAGAGAAAAAGAAAAGAAATCAAAAGAAAAAAACACCACAAATGCTCGCTTCTATTATTTTCTAACCACAAAGGTCAAGAAGAAAAAAACATTTGCATCCATAGAGCAATGTAGAATCCACTGAAAAAAATCGTTGTCAACCCTCCTTGACGAAAATCCATCCTATCATTAAAAAAACGGGGGGGGGGTGCTTGGACAACTGTTGTCATCATTCTACTTTCGGTATTCTTAAACGCCAGAGCTGTACGAGGTCCAAATGCATATGCCGGATGTATCGATCGAGTAAAAGCACTCTAGGTTTATGTGTAGTGGTGTATGCCCAATGCTTCGAATCGCTGGTGCGCCACTATGATGATGGACAGACAAACAGAAATTGTTGAGGAAAAAGTGAGAGCATGTAAAAGAAATATGCGTATCGACAATATTTGTTCATAATTAACACATCAATAGGTACCATTTCTTGCACCATATCGGGTCCGGTGTCTTGTGTGACATCGAATACTTAGGAGACTAAACAAACTGCACAATCAAGCAGCTGGGGTATCCTTTGGTTTCAAAAATTGCATCAATCGACTGATTCGCTTGCCTTTCTTGTCCTTCTTCTCGGACGCGGTGGCTGGTTCGGTTGGAACACGAGACTCGATGGATAGCTTGCTCTTTTCTCCGTGCGAGCTGCTAATCAGGCGGGACAGACTTGCCATGCTTGAGCGCTTGCGAGTGACGGCAGCAGAAGACAAGGAAGCAGATCTTTGTCCATCACGAAATTGTTGATTGGGATAACCGGTATCTCTTGTCGAGGCCGAGTTGATGCTTGAAAGCGATGGGGAGTGTTCTTCGACAGAGTGGCGAACTTCAGGTCCAGGTTCCCCAAGCAAAAGTGATTGGAATCCTCGTTCATCTGTGACTGATGAAGGTGCGGTTGAAATTCGTTGAGTGTCATAAGAGAAAGGTGATCTTGGCGATGGAAATGAAGATTGCGTTGCAGAGAGCGGGCTGGTAGGAGTCAAGTATGGTGGTTGGCGGCCGAAAGGTTGTAGGTTGAATTTCTGGTGAATGTCGACAGGCGGAAGTTCCTTGCCGGTTCTTGGACGAAAGGGTGGGGTTGCGGTCGAGTCGGAAGAACGAGCTCTGGAATCTGGTCGCGAAGAAGTTGTGATGTCGACAATGTCATGTGGGCTGATAGACTCTTCCATAATAGGCTCATCAAGCAAAGAAGTGCCAGAATGCTCCGATTTTGCGGTTCCAACAGTGTTACGGTCTCCTTCACTCAGATTGCTACCCTTGCGCTTCATTTGATTGAACGAGCCGGTTTCCAAGCTCATAGCCTTGTCAGACTCGACATCCTCAAAGTCCTCAACCTTAATGTCAATGCCTAAACCAGTGTTGCCGTCTTCCTTATCAGACGAGACTTTTGCATCCTCCCACTCATCTTCATCCTCCTCAAAAACATCCTCCATCGTCATGGTTGAGTTGCTGCCAAGACGGTGCAAGCCGAAACGTGGACTTGGACTGTCGAACTCCGGAGCACTTTCTGCACGTCGATGATAATGCATACCCGGTCCAGCGAATCCTCCTAAACCAGCAGCACTGTGCATAGCTCTCTTTCTTGTATTGGTTCTTTGTGAAGTCTCCCACTCGTCACCAAAGCTTGAAGGTGTATTGAAAGGACCCAAGGCGGCATCAAGATCGATCATTACACTGGCGGAATCATCTTCTTGAGGTGGGAGTTTTCGTGGTTTCCAAGAGGCAATATCGTTGTCAGGCTCAGGAGTCGGTACCGGTGCTTGACACTCAGGATATGTCGAGTCGAATCTCGAGGTCTCCTCAATTGTGGGGTACGATCTTTGTGGCGGTGTTGGGGAACGTCGACTGAGCTTTTGCTTTGAGCTGCGTTGGCGAGTCTTGCGAGACAAAATTGATCCGGCCCAATTTCGAACCTTCTTTTGCTTCTTGCTTGGCTTTCTCGAGATTGAGGAACGGCGGGAGCTAGTAGGCTCAATCGTATGCATGGGAGGATCGATGTTTGGTGTATCTTTTTCCGCTGTTTGAGGCCCAACAAAAATTGACTCGCGAATTTTACCAATAGATCCGGAGCTGGTTGGTCGAGACTTCGGAGAGCATTCGCCTGAATTGGATGAATCGTGACCAAAGAAAGTCCATTTCTTGGCGGATCTTGGGGTTGATGGCTCAGATACTGATGCGCTGGCTGCTTCATTCAAGAGTGGAATAGAATTGCGACGCTTTGGCGAATCTCTTGATTCCGCGGTTTCACGATCCAAAACCGGCTCTGCAGTGCGAGGGCGAGTATCCATGTTTCTACGATTAGTGCTTGTTAGGCCACGGGTATCCTTTGTCGGAGTAGGAGAATTTCCATATGACATGACTGAAGATATACTGTTGGAGACAGAATGACCTTGTCGCATGGTGACTGTGGAAGAGCTATCTGAAGAGATAACTGATAATGGGCGAGGAATCACTTCGACATTGTCCGAAAATCCCACACGAGCGCGATTCAATGCTCTCAATGGCTCTCTTGCGGCTTCGTTATCTGTATCTGGTGTAGGTAGCGCGCGAACTGTTTCCTCAACTTTAGCTTTCTTAGTCTCATCAACAGAGCCAGAAATGATTGGTTGTCGCATCTCTTGATCTCCAGCAGGTGAACATGGTGCGGAATTGCCACGAGTGACAGCTACGGGGCTGGTAGGAGGCTTCAATATCATTGTGATGTCATGGCAGGAGATGGCAGCCGATCTGACATGTCGGTGGCCGCGGCGTCCGCCAGGTGGGCCGAAACCAGTGGGTTGGGGGAGAGCGGCATCACCTGTTGGTGGTGAAGCTGACATTGGTAAGGTAGATTTTCCAGTGACGCTGTCGCCTCCAATGAACTCGCTGGTGCCTCTCTGATGTGGTCCGCCAGATCTCGGAGGGATATTGCGTGAAAGCGGTGATGATGGAGGGCTCGATGATCTGGTGCCCAAGGAGAAAGCAGGAAGTTCTGGAGTGCGCAAACTATCCTGTTCGTAGTGCATGTCGGAGGGACCTTTCAGATCGATTGCGGAGACCGGTCGACGTCCGGAAGCTCTCGAGTAAGAGGATGGTGCCGATGAGGACATAGGCCTTGGTGCTGGTTTCGCAGGAAAAACAAAGGATGGAAGAGGGAGAGGGCCATTGTGTAGACGAGGAGATTGCGAATCAGACATTGTGGGCGATGAGTTGCCAATGGCACCCGCAGTCATGGGTCGAAGGTTAAGCTCAGTAGAACTCAACCCTCGCTCTGTGGTGGCCATGGTATGAGACCCGTACGACGGCCAACGTCAATACACCTATTGAAAAAGGCGCATCAAGAATTGGTAGACGTGGGAGCGATTCGTGGAGCGTGGAGCGCAGTGTGAAGGAGGGAAGTGGACGACGATCTTCGAATGTTGTGGTATGGCAATCGCGAGATCGAAGGCGGGGGAGACTCGAAGGTCAAGGATTGAGTGTGAAGGTCAGATTCAAGGCGAGCAAAAAGATGTCGTGTCGTGGTGGAAAGGCGACCAGTGGCGGCGTGGACGCGCGGGACTCGCTAGCAGATAGACCGTATCCCTAATGTGAGGGCCTGCCACATGAATGAAAGGATACCTAGTGAAGTCGCAAATTCGAGTATGTCAAGTACGTTATCGTCAAGTCTTGGTAAGGTGGTTGGCCGGGCGAAGGATGGTGGGTGATCAGTCAGTCTCGTCTCGACGTCAATCTCTCGGCGGGCGTTGGTGGTGGTGGGTGATATGTTTGTTGGTGGTGGTGGTGATATGTTGGTGGTGGTGGTAAGTGGTAGTGGTAGTCGGTGGTAGTATGTACTCCTGTGAGTGAATAAGGAAAAGGAGTGTAGGTTAAGGAGTGGACGGCCAATTTCAGACCAAATCTCTGCGTGCGCGCAAGAGATTGAGGGTGGTGCAGCCAAAATGTGTGGTAATAGATGTATGGTGTTGAAGAATGGATAAGAGGGAGAACCGACATGAGTAAGAGAGGAAGGGGATATCCTGCGCCGCACCAGCACTAGCACTGCACCGCTTTGGGTGGGGACAGCTGGGAACTTCCAAGGTTCTTTTCAACCGATGATCATGTGACCGATCCATGGCGCCATTAAACCGCACATTTTACGCCTGTGCACCCTACTATCACCCTCCTTTTAAACTATTAAAATATTTTTTAAAAATATGAATTAAATCCTAAAGTCTTCTTTAGCATCTGTTCTATTATTGCATAACTTTTTAGAAATTCTGTAGGACTTTTCGTGGAGTTATTCAAGGCGTTAATCGAGTTTACTACGGGAATAAAATGTGTGGTTTAATGGAGCCACTATCTCCAAGGAGACAATGGAACCTGGAAACAATTGCGCGCTAGGGACTTTTTTCGGACTGAACACACCCGCACTTGGCCTGGGAGTGCTAGGAGGGTCCTAGTTGGGGTGGTGGGCAGTAACAGCCTCAACCTTACTGTACAATGGGGAGACACTCTGTTCGCATCTCCCATCTCTCATCTCTCATTGCTACGGAGGACACCTCTCACTCTCATCAAAGGGGAGATTGCTGGAGGCCTGCATCTGCACCTCTCTCTCCTCTCCACCACACAAGCACCATCTGGTGTTGACGGCCCAGGGGCACTACATGTTCGCCGTTGTGAGGAAGGGTTTGAGGAACTCATCTCGGATACCTGCTCGCTCGTTGCAAATTTAGTCTTTGGTTTTATGGCACTGTTTTGTTTTGCCTCTTGCTTCAGAAACCCCTCCTGCCAACTTGGCCAAACAAAGTGGTCATTGTCTACAGAGGTCCTGGGTTCTTACCAGAAGACTGGACCATCTGGAGGTCACCGCTGAACCCTAAACCAGGAACACCAGACCCCTAATCTGTGAGATTAATTGGCGGCAGTAAGGCTAAATTAAAAACAAGATCAAGATCGCGTTTTCCAGGTTGTTTCTAGGGGAACCATGTTGTGTACACTAACAGGATGGATACGATGGTAATATTACGCCTTCACCTAATTTATGGTTACCAGTACGGGTAAGGTTGCTGACTGGTACCTACGTACTTGTCTGAGATACGCTCCATACTCCATATCCAGTGGGCTGGCTGGAGTCTTGCTGGAGTCTGGCTGGAGCACAGAAAACTACCAGTCTGACTCTCAAAGTCCACTTTCACATCTTCTTATTTCTTGTTCATACTTTGTCTTCTGGGCACTCGAAAGCCAAGGCATTTGCCATCGGCGAGTCTCGAGGGGACATACTCCTTTTCACACGCGTTGCCCGGCATTGCATTTCTCGAGTACGAAGTACTTTTCTCAATTTCCATGGTAGATTTGTATCTGTCTGCCACCGCAGGGATGGGAAGTGGTAAGCAGGAAGCCGGGTTCTAGGATTCGCTGCAGCCCTCATATCTCCGCAATTCGGCTGCTCTCAGCCTGTCAAGTCGAAGTGTTGTCAACAGTGGGGAGAATTAAAGTGGACTTGGATCTGAGCAAGGGGTGAGGGTGGATGGCTCAAGATTTGATACGGAGCATTGTTTGCTCCATCATCTCCAGCGCTCGCGACATTTCACTCCACAACCCAAGTAATCGTCATGATTGATGGACCTAGTTTGCTCTGCAAGAGATCATCTATCGCAATCGATGATCGGCGCCCTACCGGCAAACGACGCAGAAAAAGGTGACGTGGATCGTTCTCGCCTCTCAAGGTCTCGGACATTTGGAAATCAAATCACATCTCCAATGGAAGACTCTTTTGCAACATTCTTTCTGTGGCGCGCCCTCGACCTTCTCTCCTGCATCGGCGAAGGGTAAGCCGAGGTTTTCTATTTCGGTATCACCGACCGCTCTTCTGCATGTTCTGTAGATGTTCTAGCGCTGGTGACACAAGGACGTGGAGGGTAAAGAGAAACTCTGCCCGTTTTCTCCGGAAGTATTCAGGGTATAACTTCGCACATTCGGTTTAATAATCGAGAAGGTTTAGGAGAATGCAGTCGAACCCTTGCCGTAGGCTTCTAGAAGTAGATTGTTTTGCAGAAAGTTTAGTAATGTTAGTAACAAAAAGCAATGGCCACTGGCCGGCCCTCTTACAAGAACATAAGTAGCAAAAAGAGTGATGGGAAGTGGACATATGATACTATTAAATTACCATATTCTACGAACTTGTGGAAACCGCTTACTTGCAACTACTTCGTACATACACCTAAGAATTTCATGTTTGTAATACCATCTATAGTAGTCCGTATACTCGAGTACCCTTTTCTCTACGAAAGCTGACATGTCTTTGATACTCCAGTAATTGTGATGTAATAGAGAGACGTGAATTGCAGTAGAATGAAGAATCTGGCCAAGATTACTGGTAGGTAAAGTTCAATCTACAAATTAATATCCGAAAACTAATAGATGTATGTCCTGTTTTTGTGGTACGGAGGTATTGACTGAGTTGACAAACAAGAATGGAACAACATTTCACAGCTCATTTTTTAGGTCTAAAGGCTAATTTGAGTGAGAAGATCATAGCACAATTTATTACCGTTTTTTTTTCAGTTTACCTGTTCATGGGAATAAAAGCAAAACATGCTCGTACACGTGATTACAAAGTCTTGGCGCGTGACAACCTCATCCAATGGATGCAGGCATTTACGATGGCTTCATGGTCGAGAGCGCTTTCAAGGAAAAGCCCCTCACATGACGACGCTCCTTCAAATGACTCCCAGGCTTCTGGCCATGAGAAGTTCTCTCTCAACAAGACTTCTGATAAGACCAAACACATCAACTCAACTATGGACCTTCAAGCAGTACCCCGTTCTAAACTCTCTCCGCACCAATCACCATAGTACAGAAAATACATCACTTTGCTCTAGCCAGGGAACTATGGTGGCTTCCACGCCCAATACAATCGTAGGGATTTTTCTAGTTTTAATTTCGCATGTGCTTATATGCTTATAGGTCAAGAACAAGATGTTGAGGTGTTTGAAGAGGAGATTTAGACCGGGAAATGAGAAATGGAAGGCGAGGCAAACACATCCTTGGGCAGTAGTAATCTTAGCCACGCCCCAATTCGCAGCTTGGCTTGAAGAACCGACCTTCATCTCCGATGTTCTTGTAAATTTGACAAAACCTCAGACTGAAGGATTTCCACCACTCGAGCTTGACGTTGTTTGCGCCTGTGTAGACAAGGTGGCTTTCACCGTCGATTTTCTCCGATCTGCTTCGGCAGAACAGTCGCGAGATCGATCAGGGATTTCTATTCTCCAGGGCCGATCAGACTTACTGCTCCCTGGCCTTTGGGATGATGAAGTTAACTCACAAACCCATACAACGGAGTTGCTATCTACAATCACTGTGGCATCGAGCCAAGATGACTCTATCAAGAACTCTATCAAGATTGACATACCTTTGGCCAACACCTTATTTACAAATGGAAGGAAATCAACACTCCTTATTTCGAGATGGCAGCATAAACAACCAGAATCCAACGAGAGATCGTTTGTACAAATCATGTCAGCGGAAAAGCTTAATCAGGTTGTGAATGCCCTGGGTGACATGGCAATAGATAGGCCTCATATGCTGATTAGTGTCACCCCTTTGACTCCAGCCCGACCAATAACTAGTGGACTTGGAAATATTGTACGCCAGATCGACTTTGGAAACAACAATATCGGACCTGCATCTCGTGAGCTGGAGGCAGTTGTCAATAAGCGAATAGAGACTCTACTGGAAAAAAGAAAGAAGTTCAATGTGTGGGCATTGATAGTGCCCGAAGCCATTGTCAGTCAAGCTAGTCCGGAAATGCAAAAGCACTTAAGCCCTGTTGATGAGGGAAGCGAACTCCTAGATCTCGATGGGGGGACCGTTGCTTACTGGGTGAATAAGGGCGCTAAATTCTGTCGGGTTGGTAAGTTCTGCAACTATCGCAAATTGAGTCTGAATTTTGCTGATTTGTTTTATAGTCAGTGGGGGTGGAGGCTGGGGCGATAAGCAAGGCCTTCTCTCGTTAGATCCACAAACAACCCATTCTCCCATTGAGAATTCGGCACTGGAGTTTCCCAATCAAACGATCGAAGAGCAAAAGACCTCAGCTCTTGGAAACATAGCTGAGCCTGGTTCACTCATACAATTCTTTATCAGAAGAAAAAGCTTTGAACGAATGTCCAGATTACGACGCAGTGTGCAGGATCCTTTCGCAAAGAGCGTAGTTTTTGGTACAGTCATGGATACAGTCGATACTACAGAGGAGAAGGTTTTTGAGAATGACGAAAAAATGGTATTTTGCGCGGGATTGTTTGGATTCCAGTCAAGTTCAGGCATGTTTCTACGGCAGAGACCTCAGCCAGATGGATTGGAATTCACCACGAAAATCGACATGCCTGCTTCTTTTGTGTATTCATACGACAAGGGTGCTTCTATAGGTTACAACATGCGTGGAGGTACGGGGTTCTCGAACCGAGGAAACAGGCACATCCCCATTCTCATGAGCGACTGATCAAGAGTAGAAGAATGCATACATCGCAGGATGCTTTTTCATACGGAAGTCTCACACAATCACGTTGATTCTGAGTCTTTAGTAACGTTGCTGAAGTTGTACAACATTACTGTAAATATTTGAGCTGTATCACTATATCCGAGAATAGGAATCGTGTAAGAGAGGCAGGCATTACTCCGTACACCACACCTAAGTTATAAAAATATTATACTAAAGACCTCACACAACTGAATCAATTGTACGAATAGTTTAGAATAATTGATACTTTTCATTCCTTATTGTGCTAGGTAAATAGGATAATCAATTAACTTATGCTAGACTTTTGGAATAATGACTTTTGAGAGCGTGTACAGTCCCAGTGGGAGCAGAAAAGTCGATACCTTATATACTCCTAGTCGATACCTTATCTACACCCGGTTGATACTATATCGACAACCTAAAAAAAAAAAAGTTATCTATAATTTTTGCTTACCCTCCTAGTAGGAAGGAGCGGGTATAGATAAAGTATCTATAACTAGTTGTAAATAAGGTACCGACAATTGTCGATAGGGTATCTATAACTAATTATATAGGGGAAGTTTGCTTTTAAAAAAATAATTTTCTTATAAAAGGGTCTATTAGTCTCTAATAGTCGTCTATTTATCCCTATAGCGTTCTCTATAAGACCTTTTTTTATTATAGATAGGATAAGTTCTCTCGATTTCGCTAAGTACTTTTATTAATCCCTTGATTTCGCTAAGTACATTTACCGGTCCGGTAGCTAGGAATAGACTTTTATTATAGTTTTAGGTACGTAGATCCTACTACGCACGTACTTCCGAGTACTACCGAGTACCGCCTATATATTACTGCCCTTCCCCCGCTCTCTCTTGCTCCTATTGTCCCTACCTATGAGTGTACTTAGTCGTTTTTTGTCCCCCCTCCTGTCCCTACCTATAAGTATACTTAGTCGTTTTTTTTGTCCCTACCTATAACCTCTATATATACTTAATTTAAGTAAGTAATTTGAGCCGTAAAAGTATAGAAATAAGTATAAAAATAAGTATAGAAATAAGTGTAAAACTAGGTAGAAAAAAGTTATAATTTATTAACAACTTTAGACATTTTAGTAACCACTTATTAACAACCGTTTATAGATAAGGTATCGACAATTATCGATAGGGTATCTACAACCGAGCGCATACAAAAATATACATAAGGTATCGACAACCGGTTGTCAATACCTTATCTACGCCCGCTCCCACTGGGAGTACAGAGCAATGACCAGGTTTCTTAGTTGACATAACTTGACTCTTGATCTGGTTTGCTTACAGACGTGTCTATCTATGATATTTATTACCTTGCGATCCCCTCAATAATAATAATCAGACTCAGTTACATGTTTATGTTTTCTTGATCAAATAAGTCGCGCACCTTCTTAGCCATAGAAAGAGGATTGAGCAATGAGAAAGCAGGTGTAGGCTAGCAATAGCCAGGGTAGCAAATATCTCAACGAACTCGATAAAAAAAGACATGGAACCGACTATTCAAAAGTGCTAGAACCTTGACGTAAAGGTCTCAAAGATGGGGATTATAAATACTTGAATCTAATAGCTAGTTCGTCCTTCCTCTGCGTTGTTGCTTGAAAAGAAGTTTAAATCTACACCAGCTTGATCAGGAAGGAGGCTTGTGCCTTGTTGCTGCCTGAGGTCATTATGCAGGTGAAGGTTATCGTGATGTCAAAAGTCCAGCACCTAGCTGCCCCCAAAACATCCATCGGCCGCCATTCCTCAACACCTCACCAACTTTTTTCCTTAACCCCACGCTCGACAATCTCCTCAGATTATCTGCAACACTGCAAGATGGATCGCGCACTCGACGAAATTGTATCAGAACGTCACGTAAGTTTGCTCCTGGCCTTGACCTTCCAATTGTTTCAGCCTTGCTCCACAATCGATGAGAAAGACAACTGACACCTTTCGACAGCGCGGTGGCAGAACTCGAGCACGCCGAGGTGGTCGCAGAAACGACCGTAATGACTATCCTCGTGATGGCATAAGAAAGGTAAGAGAAATCCCTCGTGGTCGAACCACCCAGAATCATGTTGGCTAATCTTCTGCCTTGTCTAGGTTGATACACCTTCTCCTCCCTCCTCCCACACATAACTCCTCTCCAAAACTTCCTCGGACCTCGTCGCAGTCGACTCCACCGTACTCGATGACCTTCCAGACTGGTCTAGGAAAGTACCTATATTGAACATATCAGCTAACCCGGGCCTCCTCTCTTCGCACAGTCGACTCGAGATGAAAGTAGAAACATAGACTCGTACGTTTCCAATCTCTCACATTTGGTGAGTACAACACTAATTCTTTCGCAGCGAGTGGGTTCACGATAAGTTCGACGATCATTGTATGCAAATCCAATTTGCTTCCTGGAATTTCGCGCTCATAGATACCCAGCTGGACGACGCCCTTACCGAAATGAAAGACGCTATTCCCCCGAAAGATCATAGTACGGATATCCTTCAAAGGGCTGTTTTTCGTATGCTAACTTCCATAGCGAATCCGCAAGCGCGAAGCTTAGAGTTGACAACTTACACTATGATTTGACGGAGGAGGACTTGGATGTAGGGAAAACCGGCAAGAACATGCGATATTGTGCTCATATATTACACAGGATCTTTTCAACCGAATTGGCCCAGTTTCAAAACTCATCCTGACCTATGACCGTGCTGGTCGTTCTGAGGGCACCGCCTTTGTAACTTACGAAGCCCCTGAGGACGCCAAACGTGCCATTCGGGAGTTTGATGGTGCCAATGCAAAGGGTACTAAAGTCCGACCAATTGCTTTTCATGTTGCTAATAATTATCAGGGCAACCAATTCGTCTCACCTCTGTACCTTCTGGTCCTGTTCGCCGAAATCCATTTGATTCAGCACATGCTCCACCTCGTCCATTGGCAGACCGAATTACCCTCCCATCAGGCAGAAGCCGATCCGAATCTCCAATTCGCCATTCCGATGTTAGTGGACCACCACCTAGCAACGTCGATCGATATGTTCCAGGTCAGGGTAGCCGCTCACGTAGTCCTCAACGTCCTCGCAGAGATGGTAGAAGACCAGGCGCAAGAAGAGAGCAACGTGGTGGCGAGAGACGCGGTGGTCGTGGCGGCGGAGAGAGAATTGCTAGAGATGGTAGACCAAAGAAGACACAAGAGGAGCTCGATGCCGAGATGGAGGATTACTGGGGAAGCAAGGGAAACGGTACTGAATCTTCTGCTGCGCCAGTGACCGTTACTGCTGTGCCAGTTGATAATGTCGATATGATTGAGTAAGTCTCATAACTACTTCCCCTTGGAAATACTGTCTGTATCAGGGTAGTGGCAAATAGTGGCATATGGAGGTTAGACGATTAATTGTTTTCGACTCCCTATACCTTTATTTCCCCTTTCATACTTTAGGGTATGGGGAGATTAGTACCTAGATGCGTTGATACATAGCATAGGTATCAAGAATTCACAGGATTGGTACTTGAAATTCACTCTGCTGCTTATGTTTTTGAACTTTTTTACTATGAACTTCTGAAGTAAATACATGGCTTTTCTTTTCCACTTTAAGGATGGTATTGAGATCTTTTATATTCTTGTGGGGGTTTTGTTGTATTCACGCGGGTTGGTTATTGTGTTGTTGTGTTGGTGGGAGGGGGGTTTTCGCGTCGATACTGTGTTAGCCTCTAAGCCTCTTTGGAGATGGGGTTTAGGCGTGTGAGATGTAGTAGGATAGTCTGTGAATGGATCTCTGCTGTGTGAAATGATGGTTGGGTGTAGGTAGTACTGTTGGGTTTGAGAGAGATTTGATTTTGAGGAAATTGTGCTGGTGAAGTTTGTATTTGGTGCGGAATATGGTGACTCTTGTAGGTTGTCAGGATTGTTAGTTGTAACTTTTTATATGCTTACAAGTACTAAGTAATTTCTTGTTTTGCTTTGGTGATTTGTAGACTTACTTACTTTGGGGAGTCTATAGGGGAGTCTTGTATTTTATATGATATGTAAGGGAGGAGATGGATATATATACCTGAGAGCGGGGTTAGTCTTTTTTACATGAGGGGATAGTGGAAGAGGTGATGTATAGATTAGATTAGATTAGGTGAGGTTAGACTAGATTATGCTAATTATAGAATCTAGTTATACTAATCCTAGACTTAGTATTGCTATAAACTTTTATATACTACTACAAAACTAGATCTGGATCTAATCCCAAAATTCCCAAAATAAGAAGTCAACACATCATAACATCACAACACAAACGAAACATGTATAAAATCACCCCTACTCGTAATCGCGAAATAAATAATAATAAGAATAATAATAAGAATAATGATATCAATTAATCCATCCATATAAATATATACAAAAGAATCGAAATCAACAAAAAAAAGAGAGCCCTGGAGGGGTTAGCTATATAAACCGGCCTCCTCTTTAATAACTTTAAGGAGTAAGTAGTAAGGTTAAGATAGTGGGAATTATGGGTGGCTTGTACTGTATGCAAGGCCGTGTTCCTGCATATGAAGGATTTGGCTGTGGTGGTGGGGGCTGATAGGGGTTGATGTGCAGGAGGGGTGTCGGATTTTTCTTAGGTGGAGGGTTTGTTGGGTTGGTGGCGAAAGGCTGGGAAGATATCTGCTGAGATGATGGAATTGATTTGTGAATCCACTATTGCAATTGATCGTTGGGTTGGGTTTGAAGCAGGCTGCGGATGATGTAAGGTGGTACTGTACGTAAGAAATCCTTTGGGAAGCGTCAAATTTGACGGAACCGAGAAGGATGCCGAGTTTTCGTAATTCTTGGGATGCTTTTGTACGTAATGGGTGTGAAGGATTTTTGTGGGTTTGTTGGCGGGTGTTCGAGTCTGGTTGTTGGATAATTTTCAGGAACCATCCAAAACGATTTTGAAGCTCAAGTCTCAATGGAGAATTTCGCTTTGGCTTAAAGAAGACATATGAGTTATTGGCACATCTCAAAAGCCGTGATGATAGTTTTCTTTTGCAGTGTTTTCTTGGTTGTTGCGCGTTCAAATCCAGTTTGGCTTCTTGCTGAAGTTCAATCTCTCCTTCTCAACCTGTTCCCTGGCAGGCAACTCACAAACGAATTCTGTCTTCTCCCCATCTTTAGTTTTTGCAAGAACGATTGGTTTTGGCATAGCAGCTGCGTCGAACAATGGCGATGGTGGGCCGAACTGAGAGCTGCTGATATGAGAATTCCTATCGGCAATGGTTGGTTCGTAGTCCTTTGGGAATTCCACAGCGCTGAATCGCATGCTTTGAGTCCCGTAGGGCATTGGCGCATCGAGTCCGGCAAGCGTTTGGGTTTCAATTGGATCGTATTCTGATTGGTAGAATGAGGTGGGTGAGTCTGGTCGTGGAGGGCGTTCTGAAGATCGTTCCCAGACAGAGGATGGCGCGATGGACTTTGCGTGCATGGAACGGTTGTGTAAGGAAGACCCGAGATATGTCGAAGGATAAGGTGATTGTGGTGGTTGAGAAAAGCCTCGAATTGATGATTCGGATTGCTGTCGTTTAGCTGCTTCTACTTGTAGTTTTGTTCTCTTACGGTGGCGAAGACCCATTACAATTGCGAGAACGATGACCGCTAGGAGTACAACACCCCCGATACATCCAGCAACGATTGCCCCGACATTAACGGGTGCCTTCGTGGTACTTGTACCCGGAGGCAGCACTCCAATTGGGGCAATGGGTGTTACATTGGATGATTTTGCATTCCAATCTCTTTGGTGAAGAGAAAAGGTCGAGCGCTCATAATCTGCTATTATATAACTACGAGTAATTAGAAAGGAAGCAATTTAGTGGAGGGTGTACTTACGCTTCCTGAAGAAATGTTCTCCCGAGTGTGATTTGACCCGCATTTGCTGCTCTCTTGAGAGGAAAATAATGTGTGAGAGCTTCCACCAAAGGTGGCTTCGCAATCAAATCGAACGCTTGAAACGGGAGGACGATATCAACCAGCACCTTTGATGTTGAATTTGTTAGAGTAAAAGCCACAGTAGGGTTTTGTTCGGCAATCTTTTTAGTCAATTGCGCGTTGACGAGGTACAGCTGACTCTCTTCGTCCCATATGAGTCCAAATGCTTCTTCAAACAGCTTGCAAACTTCGATCGGGAGCCACAAGTAGGGCGTGGTAGTATCGACGAAAGCTGAGAAAGGAGAATTGCTCAATGTTTTGTTTCCAGACCCAGTAGCGAATGTGATCTTGTTGACATTGATCGTCAGATCATGAGCTGATAGGTTGTTGAAGTTGACGGAAAGGGCATTTGGTATATACAGCGATGTATCACTCCCTCCAAGAGTCAGGCTTCCAGGATTTGGTTTACCGTTGCGATACTGATTTCCTGCCGTATATCCATATGTAAGGGAAGGAATCTGACCCTGTGCCTTCAATGCAAACAGATAGCTGTCGGCAGGAGGAGAGCTCTGCGAGAAACTTGTAGATAGAGGACTCAAGCCAATCATGCCCATATAAAAATCCTTAGTCGTCATACCTCCGACCACCTGGCTAGCAAGGGAAGGCAAATTGCCAGAAGAACTTAAGGAGACATTGTCGTAGCCATAGGCTAAACTTGCAACTTGTCCATAAGATGACCCAATAACAGCCGAGAATCGTCCATCGCTTCTAGTGTTGCTGATCCACGAAGGGACGTACCAGCTTGTTGTTGCATTAGTGTTGAACAGACCCCCTCGATTATCACTACATTCAGGAACATCTGTCGGGAGACATCCGTCTGGTAAAACGACCCAAGGTTGATTACTAGCCGTCGAAGCCAAAACTCTCATGTTCTGGGGTGGCGAGCCAACGCTGAGTGTAAAACTCGACCAAGGGCCATCGATGCCATCCCTACATACAGTTAGCAAGTGCATATATTGAAGTTCAATGATATAGGACATACCATTTGGAAGTGGGTGGAACCACGAGGGGGACAGCTGCCGCTCTTGAGTCCAACGAAGAAGAAAGAGCAGCAGCTAATACACCATTAGGTAGACCAAGAAGATTAACGATTACAAACGCCGAGAGGGCATTCCAGGACAACATTTTGCAATCATCGAAGAAATCCGATTTCAAGAGGAATCCGTGTACTTAAGGATGGTGGCATGATGACACTCGCACACGTATCTGGCGCAGGTGCGGTGATCCTGATCGTTTATTTTGAATACCTGACAGAGGAAAGGAAATGCTGAAACATGCGATTTGTCCGAAATTACCTAAATGAGGAGCTCTTACCCAGAAAATATGACGAATTTGGCGAAGCGCCGCATAATTTTGGATTCCTTGGGATCGCGTGGTGGCTTAAAGGATTTCCAGACCACGCATATTGTCAGCACGGTAAATTGGGTGTCTGGGTCCGGCATTGCACATTGCACTCTTTTGCACTAGGATGACCATAAATTTCCTGAAGGAAAACCTACTTAGATTGTTGTTCGTAGAAACTATGAGGTCAAGACTTCGGCCGCGGGCTGTGATGTTTGGTTAGTGTTGTGGCTCTTGCTTGTATGAAAACCGCAGGGCAGACAGCCAACAGGATTTGTTAGTCTATGGTAGAAAATGTCTTTCATAGGCTCATCTGAGGCTTGATCTGCGAATATTTCGAATCCAAAGTGGGCTTACGGAGCCTCGTTGTAGACATGCTGTGGACATCAAATCCGGCAGCACAGCTGGCCTAAATTTCTAGGAAAATCCATGATCATTTTAAGGTTAATGGTTCAGAATAATTGGACTTAAGTTCCGGATGTGCTGGCCGAATTTCAAACAGATTATCTCCATCATCAGGTAGATGAATTGAGTTAGTTTAGAGGTGTATAACAAGGTTCCAAACAAGAGTTCAGGTCAAGATGTCGTAGCACGAGTAGCGTAGTCGTTGGTGGAGTACAAGGACTCGTACTGTGGAAAATGTGGGGCGTTCGCTTGTCGGAAATAGTCGGCGTTTCGCTGATCATCCAACGGAGCGGTTGGTGTTGGTTCTTCTGCCTTGCTGCGCGGCTCCTTACGAGTGTCTGTGCCTATTGTTAGACGAGTCGTCATCTAATATCTAAACCGTTCAAGTTGCTGATGTCTGACTTGTTCACCCTCCGGCGACTACACCATCTGTCTTAGATTGTCTGAAAGACCTCTAGTTGAGGTCACAGTGCTCCGTATACTCTACCCCAACACCCTCCCCAAGATTTTGCCGTACTCGTAATTTGCAGCTGCGTTGCGCTGCCAAAGAATGTCCGTAAAAAGGGGGGACAATCTCCAAGAGCCATTCGCACCAAGCATCCATACGTTGATAGTGTGATGAGAGGTGGTGGAAATGAAATGAAGTTCCCACCGAGGAAAATCCTGAAGGAGCGTCTTGCTCGTAACCAAGAGTTTCCCTGAGCTAGGCGGCATCGAAACCCACACCCGAGCAGCAGTACTGTATGCACAATGTTGATAGTCCAAATGAACCCATTCTTCGAACGGGGCGGATTAATCAAAATCCACAAATTGTTGTCCTAAGCATTTCGCACATTTGGCCTGTTGTATTTGTTGTCGAATGCTTTTCGCATTAGTAGATAGGGAGGATGGTGGGGGAGGATGAAGGGTGGATGGGATGCCGCCTAACACACACAGACCAGCAGATGAAAGAACGGCTAGAACGGCCATGGAGCGTACTCAGGCGCCACGCTAGGTTATCTCCAGGATTCTCCTTCACGTGTACACCGTTAAAATCTACCTGCCCAGCCTGCTTTGAAATGCTACAAAGTCAACCTAAGTACTTCGTAATATTATGAAGCTTGGAGCTTGGCTGTCGGTTCACCTCAAGGTTGACTTGGCACGTGATCGTTAGCTCCACGTTCCTGAGGTGATGATACTCGAGTATTCTCCACAAGTGATCTACCCGCAATCCTAAAATACATCTGTACCAGGATATTCTGTATTCTCTCTTTGTTAGGGCTCGTTGGTTCACGGCTCGACTTTCTTGGCCTGCTCAGCCTCTGACCCTCAAAAGAACAAACAGCAAGATGAGCCAAGCCACGCTCACTCGCCAATCTCGCTGGTGGACGTGGACCAGTGGTGAGTCTGTACGAGAACCCCTGCTCTCAATTTGACCCCAAATCGATACATTTCTGGGGGGTACTGGACCCTAATTGGATATTAGGCGAGTATTCCCCTGATGATGCATGCCACCACATGCCACACCAACCTCCAACCAACTTTCCCCTCTCGAATCCTTCGGTTATTTTTGGCCGGTGCCTTACTGGGCCTCTTGAGAAAGAGGCTGCTACTGTAGCTACAGTACTGCATGGGTAGAGCCCGACCAAATTTCCCGGCTGCCGGTTGCTGCACCTTCTAGGCCGCCAGGATGGACATTGAAGTTTTCTTCTCTCCGTAACGTGAGAATTGCTTGCATCAGCAATACTACTCTCCAACATGACACCGCCCCCTCATCACTTGAGTCGAAGGTAAAGCAGCGCACGATCAATGTGCCAATGTTGAATGCTTAACGAACATTCTTCTCTGATTTGAGGTTGACTTGACCGAAATGGAAAATGGAATCAGTTTGGTCATTTCTCCAGATTTCATGAGTGTTCTGCTCCAGTCGGAATTAAACAATCCTGCGATGGCTCCACGTTTCGCTTTCTTCAAGTAATCCTATCAAATGACTTTCAACGCCGCTTTCTCATCCCTCAGGACGAATGCACCTCTTTGATCACCCATGCCATTTTGGGAACCGTCAACGGAGAAATGAACCAACCCTGCCTCAGTGTATTTGCCAATGGAGCGATGGATGGTACATGGGGGAGGGGGAGCTCGGTGCAGCATCTCCAAATTCCAACCAACATGGTGAAATAAGGCACAGCCGGCGCAGCATGGCCAACGATATAGACACAGTCACTCGCTATTCTCGCGATCTCTTTTCTTTGCTCGTCATATCTTCAAACTGACACATAGACGGGATGAATTTCTATCTCGAATTTCGTTCCTGTTGACTATGTATTTCTTGCTTTATTTCGCCGCTGGAGCACTTGCTCTAGCACATAACACTTCGCCAGAACGGCCTCAAGTCGAAGGTTAGTATTACTTGGTCTAGTTATGTATTTTGGAAATACTTACACTCGCTTCTTTGTAGATATTATTGCTATTACACAGGACCGGACACCAGAAATTGGGCCTCTTGCCGTTCAGTCAACTGAGTATGTACCGAAACTTATTAATGACACTATCATCGTCGACGTTGTGGAAGGAAGGAAATTAGAAATAAGAGGTGCGACGGCGACCGGTCAGGAGAACAAGGCTACACAAGTACCTTCGAAAGAGTCTCCAGCCGCACCTCATTCGCAGGAACCAAAGTCAGAGACGGTAGTGCCAGTAGAAAAGTCCTCGGATCAAGCCATTCCCCATTCAACAGCAGCCAAGGCTTCGAGTGCAGCACAAGAGAAGCCAACCACAGGTCTCAAACCAACCACAGAGATCAAGCCAACCACAGAGATCAAACCAACCACAGAGATCAAGCCATCCACAGAGATCAAACCAACCACAGAGATCAAACCAACCACAGAGATCAAGTCAACCACAGAGATCAAGTCGACTACTCAAGAGAGCAAACCGACTACGCAAGGGAACAAAACGACTTCTCCTGTGGTCCTTCCAACTTCTGAAGTCAAGGCATCCAGTGCGACTCACGACAGCAAGACATCACTACAAACAGTCGTTTCAACCTCTCCGGGGAAGGATTCAAGTGTAGTCCAGGAGAGCAAAACTACCTCTATGCAAGATGTTAAGACTCCTCAGCAAACATCTCAAAGCTCACAAGCACCAACATCAAGTACAATTTCTACCAGCAAATCTCTTATCCAAACCATCGCTTCTACTGTAGTGAAAGAGTCGAGTTCGACCTCGGAAATCAAGCCCTCGTCTGAGAGCAAGACCGTACAGTCAACTCTCCCAAGCTCACAAACGCAGACCTCCGTTGGAACAACAACGCTCGATAGCAAAACTCCATCCCAAGCTGTCTCGTCAACGGCGGTGAAAGAATCGAGCTCGAGTTTGGAAAGCAAGTCGACCCAATCACAACCTACTTTCCTTCCAGATTCCAAATCTTCTACGATTCCAAGTAAGGAGGCTACGATTTCTACAACAGGGAGCCAGTCAACCACCACAGCTGCCGGTATGTTCTCTGAACCGTATTCATGATACGAGCAAGAATATGAACTGATAGTAAACAGCCGGCCCTAAGCATGGTGCAAATCTCAGAGTCAACGTTGCTGGGAATGGAGAATTTGCACCTGCTGATACTCAAAAAAATACGGTACGTATTCAAATATCTATCTTGACTTCTCCTTTGTTGGCCCAAGCAGCAGGGAAACTGTAGTATTAGGCGAGAATGTTTGGCTCAACGAAGTGATATGACTTTTGATTCTTCCAAACTTTTCGAATAAGAACTCAGATGTGTCTCGCCTTCCACACTTCATGATTTAAATGTTGCATCCACTCACACTCTACTCAGGTCGGCACCCCATCCGAGAAAAAAACAGTTTCTTCTGAAATGAAGCCCACTGCCGCACCAAGTACTCAAAACAGCAAACTCGTGAGCGAAACCATTACTTCCAAATCAGAAGTCGTTTCGTCGAAATCAGGGGAGCCTATTCCTGAACATACAACAAAAGAAACTCCTTCGAAGCCAACGGAAGTGACAAAATCAGATAGTATGTTCTTTCTACACTCGTATTATATCAATCAATGAACTGACCAATGTGAATAGCTTCAGTGTCGCCATCCTCGTCGCCTGTGGTCGAGACCCCTAAGGCTTCTAATATCAAACCGAGTGAGTCAGCTAAACAGCCTCCAAAATCGGCGGAGTCGACGGCACCGCTTGTTTTCACGAATCCAATGAGATCAGCGGATTCAACCCAAGCCTCAAAGTCCACCAATCCGCTAGTTGAAAGTCTTAAACTATCTTCCGCTGAGCCAAGCAAGCAAGTTGAACCTACAAAACCAGTGTCCACCACGCCCTTTGCTTTTATTGATACCAAAAGGCCAGATGGACCGGCAATCCCTACCAAAAAGGAGAGCTTTTCATCGGCACAGCCTTCACAAGCTGGCAAAACCGATATCTCAACTAATCAACCAAAACCAGTGGAAACAACTACCCCTGAGCAGAACACCAAGACAGTTCAAAGTTCCGAGGCACCTCAGCCTGTATCTACACGTCTTGGTGGTGGAGGAAAGCCTGCTGCAGCCCCAGACGCGCCAAAGCCCGACGACTCCCCCAAGCCATCAGCAAAATCTGAGAGTCCAGCTGAAAATCCATTAACAAAATTTCCGATTAATCATATTGAAAACCCGGTTGGATTACCCACCACTACAATAGGACTTGGGGACCAAAAACCTCCACCCTCAGCCAAGCCAGAACCAGGACAGAATTCCGACGCGAAGCCTACAGCTTCCCAAACTACTCCTGTTGTGGGATTGCCAACCAAGTCGCCAGGAGAACAAAACACTGGACCTTTTACCAAGCCAGAAACCGGAGCAAGTTCACCTAATACGAAGCCCTCAGCTCCTCAAACTGTACAGCCAGTGCCTCCTCTAATATCTCGTGTAATCGATCCTGTAATTTCTGGCATATCTAATGCTTTGGGAAATTTGCCTCCCATAATACCTGCATCTCCCGTCCACGCACCAACTCCCGGTGGTGGAAATGGAAATCCTATCACGAAAGATCCTTCTCCGACTGCAACAAGCAATGGAGGAAATCCAAATCAAGGCGGTGGCAACGGTGGCCTTCCAACCACATTTACGAGTCCAGGAGCGGTTCAAACTCCAGAAGCAAGTAAAGGAGGTCTGCCCGCTATATCGGGGCCGCTTGGAACTGTTATAAACGGACTCACGTCTATTCTCCCTCAACTGCCAACACCAGATGGAAATGGTGGCTTTTCAAATCCTATCACGAGTCAAGGAACAATCCAAACCCAAGAACCAGGAAATGGAGGTATCAAAACAACTATTAGCAACGGAGTCGTTCCAATTGCAAGCCCAATTTTCACCCCTGCGTCATTACCAACTGCAGATCCAGTCAAAGGGAGCCAAGGTCCTCCCGCCATCTCAGAGGTCATTGCACCTATCATAAGTGGCATCACATCTATATCCTCTCCATTTTCAACTCAGGGTGGGGGTCAAGGCAACGGAGTTACAATTCCAAGCTCAATCCTCAGCCCGGCACCAGTACAAACAGTAGAGCCAGGGAAGCCAGCCCCAAAGCCGACTGATCTCCCTGGCGTTATTTCAAGTGTCGCAGACGGACTCTCGTCTATTTTCCAAATTCCAAGCAATGTCAATAGCGGACAACCTCCAGCACAAAACACTCAAAAGATTCCTCCGCAAAACAATGTAGGCAGTCCAACTCCTGTTAGTATCGTACCCCAGAATAACGGCGGACCGGGTTCAATTGCAATCAACACTCAACGACCAGCTTCTCCAGCAAACTCGGGTCCACCTCAACAAGGGCAAACAAATGTGCCAGTTCAGAGTAATCCGATACCTGAAAACACTCAACAGCCAGCTCCCGCTACGAGCACAGGAGGTAACCTTCCTATGTCTCAAGCACCACCTAATCCAAAACCTGGAAACACCCAGGCACCCTCTCCCGCTAATACTGGTGCCCCTCAACAAGGGCAAACAAATGTACCAGTTCAGAGTAATCCTAAACCGGAAAACACTCAACAGCCAGCTCCCCCTGCGAGCACAGGAGGAAACCTCCCTGTGTCCCAAGCTCCACCCAATCCCAAATCTGAAAGCACCCAGGCACCTTCTCCCGCTAATACTGGCGCCCCTCAACAAGGTCAATCAAGTATCCAAGTCCCAGCAAACACGCAGCCTCAAAGCTCACCGCCTTCCCCTGTTGCTACCTCTGTCCTCACTCCTATCCAAGCGCAACCGAGCCAAAGCCCAGCTCAACCGATCGCTCAATCAACCGCTCCTTCTACACCTGGGTTAACCTCAAGCAACGTTCCATCCCCAATATCAGTTGTCCCATTTACCGCCTCCCCATTACCACCGGGAGCGAAATCGACTCCTATCACGAACACAGACGTATCTTCTCTCGTCACCTCTCTCGGTGTCGTGGGTCCCACGTTCGTACCTGCCGCTCCAATTCTCCTAGGTTCACAAACACTCACCAAAGGACCATCATCCGTTCTCATCGTCGGCTCTCAGACCATACTTCCCGGCTCCTCAATCACCGTCGACGGACAAGAGATCTCCCTGGCCGCAACGGGAGGAGCAGTCGTCATCAATGGCGCCCACACCACCGCACCACCCACCACCACGCCTCCAGCAGTTGTAAACATCGGCAGCACTTTCTACACCGCCAACTCTGCGGGAATAATCCTGATTGGAAGCCAATCACTATCCAAAGGCGGTTCCATCACCAAAGATGGTGCACTCCTCGTGCTTCCTACTGACGCTCCTTCACCTACTATTTCCAATGCGAAGGAAACGACCTTGAAGACCGTCACGTACGTCACCAAGGCGCCGATTTCTAGCGTTCAGCTTGCGGGGCAGACACTCACGGCTGGTGGACGGATCACTGTTGGTGGTGATATTCTGTCTATCTCTCCTGATGGGACGGGAGTTATTGTCATCGGGACGGTGACTATCCAAGGTGTGCCGACAGCTGCAGCTGCCAATTCGAAAAAGAAGAGTTCGGGGACGGTGCAGAAGCCTGGTTTTGGGTTGCTTACTACTGTTGTGTTGTCATTCTGTTGCTATTTGTTGATCTAATCATCCTTCGAGATTCATACAAAACAACACAACACAAAAACTCGAAAATGAATACTTCGGGAGAGATTGGCAGTTAGAACTTGATGGAGGGGTCTGGTTTATGTTTTTTTTTTGTATTTCTATAAGCATTGGGAAACGGCGTTGCATAGCTTTCTTTTCTCTTTTCATTTGTCACTTCCCTTTCTACAGAGATCTACATTGTTATGATCTCATCTTTTAGGAGCGGAAGGTTTTTATATAATGTAATTCTGGCATGGATATTAGTATCGTCCACCCTCTTTTCTCATTTAGAAAAAAAAGATTCGATAGGTGGGAGGATGAAAAGGAAGGAAGGAAGGAAGGCGAGGAAGATATACACAAGAATGGAAAAAAGAAAGTTCTTATAACTTGTATTCTTGTATATATATAATTCTTTTTCATTGTCTATAGATTGATTTAGATAATAGTACGAGTAAAGTTAATATCAGAATACTATTCTAATATTTACTAGACCTATCTCCTCACCTATTTTTCCCGGGATAATTTATAATTTTCATTATAGTGTAAATTATCTCCAGGCTATACGAAGTAGATAATACAAAGTTTGATTTTCCTTTTTACTTCTACCTAGGTTGTGATTCCTTATTCCGCGTTCCGCGTTCTCGCTTCGAGATTTTAGATTCCATCTCTTACTTCTTACACTTGTTCTTAATACCTACGAAACTACCTATCCTATACTATATACCTTACCTTCTTACCTTTCCCTACAACCCAAGCAACATCCCTCATAACCACCACCCCATCTTTCCATCAAATAGAACCGGAGGCCCGGGGAAGTCAATCCCATTTCATCCACTCTATCCAATTCTTAGAATAAGTCCTAAGGCCTAATTCACTCACTAATCCAGTATATCGAGAGAAAGGGGTTTATATCCTAGACGTCTCTCCTATTAGAGGAATAGAAGCGCATTTCTTTGGTATGAGAAAGAAGTAAGAAGTAAGAGATGGGGAATTTTTGGTTGATGGTAAGTATTGTTACTAGTATTATCGGTAGTCAAGAAGCCCAGCGTTTTACTCACCTCTCCTTTACTACGAACTAAGCGAGCTACTCACGAACATCTCTCTACACCAAGCGAAGTTGAAGACCCTGTTTCCAAAGGCTTTACAGGGGAGAGAGTAACTCGAACATGCAGCATTAGCTGTACAGAAGCTGCATTTTGGAGTTAAGCCAGTTCTGGACGCTATTGTTTAGGAGTGGGCCATATTTAAGGGAATCTTGGTAGCTGGTGTATGGTGGGAGGTGGCTTGTGGAACGGGGGTTTTGATTGGGATATGAGGTACAACAATGAACCTGAAAATTATGCTTGTGGTAGTCTCTAACTAGTAATATTCCACTAAGTAGGAACGAATAAAGTCGGCAGCCATTTTAGTAAGGAGTTTAACTTGATCGTTTATAGCTATCAGAGGGATGAGGCATATTAAAGTCGAAGTTAAGTTTCCATTATATAAATCAACCCTTCTAGTTCCCAACATCTCAATCCCACCTCCAATCACTATCACTAAGATACAACCCCTTCCAGTCACCAGTTACGCATCTACAATACCCCTGAAAGAAATAGCCAGGGCTTGATACCTACAGAAATATACCTACATCCATAAATTAAGGCTAAGAAGCCAGGGAAATAGGAGGGCAAGGGCAATGAATATAAGTAAGTAACTGGAATTTAAGCCCTACCACAGTGATAGGACCATTAGGATTGGAATGCGAGGTAGGGAGGATAGTAAGTAGGGAGAGCAAATTACTTTATAGATAGGTCTAGAGTATAACTATAATTTCGCAACCACCAAGAACACTGTTTTTTGCAACGCCATTTACCGACTAACAGTCTAACAGCACTACTCCCTACCTACTTGTATTTGACCAAACCCCCTTTCCTGGGAGTGCGGATTTCCGAGGTGGTTTAATTAAAATACAATTATTGTATAATACATCAAAAATATCTTGTTAACAAGGAGCAATTTCGGTTTAGTTAGAAATCGATAATAAATACACAGCCGCAAGATAAATCATGACTTACACCACCTCGTCCTCGAAACACGGTACGAGGTATAAATACCAAACAGAGCACCTAGAATAAGTGATATCATTCTGAACACCACTTTACCATTCGTGATACACAACCTTGCAGAGACAAGTGACAAGAGATGGAAATCTTATAGGCTGAATTCTACCGTGTTAGAGTGGTGAATGGAAGTTTTGCATAGCGGTCTGCGATGGAACTTTGGGAGTTCTAGTTCCGAACTATGGCACATAGGCGAGACGTTCGAGTGTAAACACAAGACAACCGGAAGTAGAAGGAATGAGAAGCCCTTTCTCGAAACCACTGTCTGACTTCCCCAGGCTTCAAGCAGTTTCCAGTATTGTCTCGTATTGTCTCAAACACAACCAACTGATAAGTATCAGAACAGGCAAGTAGAACAAGAACCCATAGATACCCATCGGCAAGGAATATCTAGAATCTTCAAATTAGGACAGCGCCGATGCAAATCCTCAAAATAGCAAGATCGCTCATCCAGCCTTATCGCCCACTCGCAGAGACTCACCAACATAGAGCCAAGTACGTATATCATGGGCGGCATCAACTACTATAATCATACTCCTGGAACTGGTGGACACAGCACAGCACCAGTCGCAAACGCAGTACCAACCGCAGAGGCAGTACCCCAAGGCACAACTATTGACAATACTGAACCCGAGATAATCCGCCCCAACGTCCCACCTCTCGCACGAAGGCTCCTTGAAGACCGGAACGACTTCAACGTCGACCACGAAACGCAACTCAAGCGCTGGATGCACGCCCATAAAGTCCGAATAATGGGTCCCCACAGAACGTCCTTCGACAAGCTCCTGGAGGGCTTTGGGTACAGACATCCCGGCTTGTCACCCGACCAAATGAGAGAGCATTGCGCCATATCACCATGGACAAAATGGGGACTTGTTTTCGCCAAATGCAGAGAAAGGGTGCGGCGTGGGAAGAGCCAGATCCGTTGCGGCCGATTCAAAAACTAGTGAGGTATGCGGATTGGTGTGTGACATGGAACGATCCAAAGTGGGACGGACGTGTGGAGAAGCCTGCCGGGTGGGATGGAAATGGGGAGAAGCGTGTGGGGGGGAATGAAAATGTGGAGAGGCCTGCCGGGTGGGTTGTGATTGTAAAGACAGTTGGATGGGCGAATTCGCCAGAACATAGCGTTGCTAATGAAGACGAAAGCGAAGATGAGCATGCGAGCGAGAGAAAGGACATCGACATAGAAGAAACCCAAAAGAGGGATGATTGAGCTCGAGCTGTTGGAGTTGCTCAGAAGAGTCTGCAATCCGCTGAAGAGGCGCTGAGAAAGGCTGCGCAAACAGTCATTGATAACGCAGAGAATAAAGCTGCGCGGGAAAGGGCACTGGTTGATCAAGAAAAGGCACTTCTTGACATTCACGCGACAGAAAAGGCATTGGAGACCGCGAAAAAGGCGATGGGAAGACAAGAGCAAGAAAATTATGCAACGATCCAAATAACTCGTCCGAAAACTCGACGACTTGGCAATGACGACACTCGCTCTACCCCACCCAAAATAGAGATATCTATCCGTCGATGTGATAATGGTGAAGAAATGGTTTGCGTAAGTCCAGACGTGAATGGATTTATGATACTGTTTTTATAGCAGTGGGTTCATGACGTGTTCTGGGTTTCGTTTTTAATCCAAGTCCAAGATATAGGAATGATGTGTACCTGCTGAAAGAATACTCAAGCACGTAGCATAATCAAAGTTCCCCCATCTACACTTCTAGTTCAGGTATTGTCGTTTTCTATTGCGAGCCTATGGAAAGCCAAACATTGCAACACACTTGCGCCAGCTCGTAACCGCTTCTGACTAGTCCCCACAACTATCACCCAACTCTTGTTTAGCAATAAACTCAGCAACTCGAACCGTACCTACATCGGAAAGCGTCGCCATCACGAGCTAAGAATCGAATTTGCTTCACGGCCACTACCCATAACATCTCCACTGGTACCAGTCATACTTTCGGTGATCCCCTGCTGATCCTCGTCATCATCCTCCTCATCGTCGTCTTCCTCATCACTACTCGGAATGTCGTTGTCGATGGCATCCATTCTTCGAATGAACTCTTCTTGTAGCTTTCTCAACCAACTCAGTAGGACGGATGGTTCCATTGAGCTCGCGGCTGCCTGTTGCAAGGTCTCCTTCAAACTCAACACTAGTTTTCTTCTCTTCGCAATCGCAACGGCCTTCGAAGACTTTCGCTTGGCTTCAACTTGGTCATCCAGGGCTTTGGTAACTCGTTCCGCAACCTCAAGTACTTGTGGTGGAAGATCTACAACTCGAGCAAGAGCAAGACCGTAATGTTCTTCTTGGGCATACGAGGCTTGAACTTTATAGAGCATGGTCATTGTATTTTCTTCGCTTGTATCGATTGCTAGGTGTTGATTGACGACTCCGGGTCTGTGCTGCATGATTTGCGCTAGTATTATTAGGCAATGTAAATATATACTAAGGGTATGGACGGTACACTTACCAAGCTCGCTGAAATGCGTAACAAACCAGATCATTGCTTTACTTCCCACGAGGGTTTCGGCAATACTCAATGCAATTGCAAGTCCATCTCTCGTGCTAGTACCTCTACCAAGTTCATCAATAATGGCCAGGCTATGCTCATCAATGTTTCTAGATAAAGATTACTGTGCAGTTCTTCAACGAGCGCGAGATTGCAATACTCACCGTAGGATGAAAGCAGTCTCCCTCATCTCGGACGCAAACGTAGACACATTTGCTTCGATGCTGTCATCCACAGATACTCGGGCAAAAAGCTGCCGAAATATGGGGAATCGTGCAAATTGAGCAGGCACATAACTTCCAACTTGAGCCATGACGCACATCAAAGCAATGGAACGAATGTAGGTACTTTTTCCGCTCATATTGCAACCAGTGATGACTTGGAAGCGAGATTGTTGAGTGGCGTATACATCATTAGGAACAAACTTGCCTTTGTTTACCTGAGAAAGCTTTAGCAAGGGCAAGAAGGGCGGTAATCATATTCTACGTACCTTCTCCTTCACAGGGTGGCGACCAGCTTCAATCATGATGCAGTCACCAATCTCTGGTTTGGCGTAGTCGTTTGCGATGGCAGAATGCGCGAATCCTGCGATCATATCGAGCAGTGCAATACTCTCGCAGACTTTAAAGAGGCTGGATATTTCACCACGAATATTGTCTAGCAATTCTTGTACGGTTTTATCGCTTGTCAATACTACTTCCGCATGAGAATCCGAAATTCTTTGATTGAGTTTCATCAAGAACAGTGTTTGACATTCAATGTATCCCTTGTTTTGGAACCGATTGATCAGTACATCTGGCATGGGCTTTTGATCAAACTCGCTTTCAAGGACTCGTAGATAATATTGCCGAGCATTGTCATATCGTGTCTCTACCTGAATATCATACTCTTCTGCGGAGCAGTCAGTAGCAGTATGGGCCAGTAATGCGAAGGCTTACGAGTGATTCCGGTGACATGTTGATGAACATCTTCAGTGGATTCCTTGAAAGTCTGTCGCGCGACATCAAGAAACCCACTGACGCCAGCCTTGACTGCATACGTTCGTTGGTTTCGTAACTCCAAGGGCTTTCTCTGGTAAGTCACATCATCGTTTATCACCTCTTTAATAAGTTGGATTGTGGGATCTATGTTGTCAGGATTACAATGGTCACGGATTTCGCAGAGGAGAGGGGAACGAGCGCAGCCTAGGATTTCAAAAAGCTTTGGTGCAATTTCCACAAAGTTCTTCAGCATCAAGATGTTATTGATCGACTGCTCTGAATGACGAGGGTCAGGGTGAAGAGGAATTATGATGAGCTAGAACTGTCAGTAAGTTCAAAGGGTATAAATGAGAGAAATGTACCAAAGTCAAGAGTTTTTCGACGTCATGGAGGCCTTTGAGAACTGGTGGAAAAGTTAGTTAGCTTCAGATATTGGTAGAGATTCCAAACCCTCTCTTGTTTGATAGAACATGCCGTCAACTGTCATTAGCTCTTCGACGGCATCATATCGTTTTTGAAGTACGTGGGGTTGCGTGGAAGGCTGAAGAATCCAACTCCGCAAGAGTCTCGAACCCATGGGCGTCAACGTCTCATTCATCAACCCAAATAGACTGTGCTTGGATTTAGCGTCTTGTAGATTCTGAATGAGTTCTAGAGAGTGGATTGTTGAGAGGTCTATCATCATCGAACCTTCCGAGGGTTGGTAGTTGATGCGAAGAGAATGGAAGGCAAAGGTCACGCCTTTTTTCAATTGAACATATTTCAGTGCCTTTATAGGAAATTAGCAATTACGAAGAATGAAGAACAAGAATACCAGCGAAGACCTACGGCTGCAAAACAACAGGTTGCAAAGTAATTGCCACCAATTGCTACTTTAAGTGCATCCAGATCTTGGGTGAAAGCCAACTGTTGAATCAATTCTAGCCCAGACGTTTCTGACCAGTACTTGCGGTCGACAGCAACAATTGTCGCTCCCATGACATTTTCTTCAACAATCTGGAACATTTTGGACTTTGGGTTTGGTGGAGCCGCAGTAGAAACGATCAGTATTTCAGTAGGATCAAAGACTTGGAGTTTGTTGATGGTATGAGCATAAAATTGGTTGTCACAAATCTGGCTTAGCACTGCCTCACCAGTGGTTATGTTCACAAATGCTAGACCCACGGTAGGAGTAACACCACGACCTTCGCTGATGGCGCAAATGATCTGCTGGGAATCACCTCCTCCAATGGTGGATCCGGTACGCGAGCTTCTTCGCGTGCTAGGTCTTGCAGTGCCAGGACGTGCGGTACTTGGACGACCACTGCTGGGACGACTAGTTGGGGGGCGCGGCATGGAAAGGGCTCCGGCTTGGGAAGATGTGGTGTATTCATATTGACCTGAGGTTCTAGTCGTCGACGCGTAACTATACGAAGTGGATGGACGCGGAGTTGCCATTGCGACAAGATGGCGGAAGCGTATTGTGGGGGGGGGATTGAGGTTAGTGCTTGTAGATTAGCTTGTATAACAATGGCCTGGGAAGAAGGTCAAATCAGTACATCATCATGACAAGATGGCAGGAAATGAGGCAGTCAATAATGGGTTGGTTGGGGAGGTGAGAGTTGAGGGGTGAGAGAGCATGAGAGAAGGGATTCCAACGGGGTATGAATGAAGTGGGGCGAGGGGTACAAGTATCAAGTGTGGCTGGTGTAGGTCGGTTCAGCCACCGCGGGTGAGTAGCGGGCTCCGGGGTGAAGGGCGGATTGCTTGGCAAGGCTGAAATCAGCAAGAAATTATTTTCCATCGCTGCCTCGTCCAAACACTTACATTTGCAAAACTTGCGATCTTTTCTCCAACTTTCGTTTGAAGCCCTTCCAGTGTAGAAACAAATATACTCATACCTTTGGACTGTCACCCAATTCTACCTGGAACAGCAATTTGTCATTGCATTCCCCGTCACAATGTCTACCGTCCTTCCCCCACCAAGCAAAAGGCAGAGGACCGATGCAGCGGAAAAAGCTCGAGTACAGCAGGATTTAGAAGAAATTCCCGCAGACGCTGGAAGCCTACGCCTTCAATTCTACGACGAGACAACAGGATTACCAATCGGACAAGGCCCAGTGCTGGTACCAGTCGCAGATGCAACACCAAAGAATTTAGAGCTTCTTGTGAATGCTTTACTGGGACATGTAAGCTTGACATACCAATGTTCTTCTTTCACCAAGAGGATTTTATCTGATAATTTCTCAGGACTCGTCCGAACATATTCCCTACCGATTTACCCTTCCAGTTCCAGACAAGAAGCGTACCGAGATCACCACTACAGCTTTCCCCACGAACATTTACAAGACATTAATCGCCCCAGCTCTAGTCAGTACGGAAGAAGTTCAGAATATATCTGCTGCCCCTCAAGCTGTTTTCCGAGTTCAGGCAGTCTCAAGATGTGCTTCAACGATACCAGGCCACGGAGAGGCAATTTTAGCAACTCAATTCTCACCTAGAACATCAGCAAGGATGGTTAGTGGCAGTGGGGATAATACAGCAAGGATATGGGATTGTGATACAGGGACTCCAGTGCACACATTAAAAGGACACACGAGTTGGGTACTCGCTGTCAGTTGGGCACCGGACGAGTCGAAAATAGCGACGGGTAGTATGGACAACACAGTACGATTGTGGGACCCGAAAACTGGAAAACAATTGGGGAATCCTATGAAGGGTCACACAAAATGGGTGACAAGTTTGGCATGGGAGCCGTACCACTCGCAGAAATTAGGGGAGCCTCGATTAGCTTCTGCATCAAAGGATACCACGGTCAGAATTTGGTCAGCAAACCAACAAACCATTGAACTAGTATTGAGTGGTCACAAAGGGTCGATTTCATGCGTCAAATGGGGAGGGACAGGATTCATATATACCGGGTCTCATGATAAAACAGTCAAAGTATGGAATACGGACAACGGAATTCTTGCGCATACCCTCAATTCACATGCCCATTGGGTAAATCACCTTGCTTTATCCACCGATTTCAACATCAGAACTGCCTTTCATGATCACACTGGCAAAATTCCAATTTCAGACGATGAAAAGGTCAAAAAAGCCAAGGAGAGGTTCCTAAAAGCCGCAACTATACAAGGTGAGGTCGTTGAGAGGTTGGTGTCAGCGAGTGATGATTTTACGATGTATCTTTGGGATCCTTCAAAAGGAACAAAGCCAGTTGCGAGACTGCTGGGTCATCAGAAACAGGTTAACCATGTTACCTTTTCGCCTGATGGTTTACTTATTGCATCTTCTGGTTTTGATAATCACACCAAAATATGGAACGCAAGAGATGGGAAATTCATAAATACCTTGAGAGGTCATGTGGCCCCAGTATATCAGTGTGCCTTCAGTCCCGATTCAAGGTTACTGGTAACTGGCAGTAAAGACACTACTTTGAAGGTTTGGGACATGAGAACACTGAAACTTTCTGTTGGTAAGTCTATTTATCTTTCTTACTTGCTCAAGCGAAATTGTTTTCCTTCTTTAGCTAGTGGCTTTGCTAACTATCGATTACAGACCTCCCAGGTCACAAGGATGAGGTATACGCCGTAGATTGGAGCCCTGATGGGCAGAAGGTTGGAAGCGGTGGCAAAGATAAAGCCGTTCGTATTTGGAGGCATTAGTGGAGCGAAAATTCAATAAAATGATACAAAGCAGGAAACTGATGTCCCCAAAAGATCTTCGTTGTGATATTATCAGCCGAGTCCCCCAATCCAAGTTTTCCTTTTTTGTACCATAGTAGGCAGAAGAGAGTAATGAATGTGCACAGGTTTCCGCTGCGGACTCCATCAACACACGATATAAGTTCCTAGGGGTTCAAATTCCCCGTAGTCTGGATGTTCATAAGTACAGTACAGCAACGGATTCGTCAGTCGGATTCGCTCTTTCCCTGCAACAATGCCGAGCTCAGTATTCATTGAACTTTTTCTCCCAGTCCTCTTCAACCACGTTCGCAAACCTCAGGTCTCCCTGAATATTTATCACTACGAGTCAATTGGCCACCATTGAATGCGTATCTTGTTTTTCAGTTTTCTACTCAACCCCTTATCCTCGAAATATATTAGGCGTATCTGAAGGAATGGCACTTCCCCTCATCAAAGTAAGAATCACTTCAGTATCTTAAACGATACCCAAATCTCTGACTATTTGAATAGAGCGAAGACTGGAGTTTGATCATCTGGGCCAATTCGCCCTATGAGCCCCCACACGAATTTCGGAAGGTAATGTCAGCCATCTCACAGCCCTTCAGGAAAGTTACCAAACCCTCACAGATCAAGAAACTCCTTACCAATTATGGCGCGAAGGCGTTCCTCGAGTCGCGCAAGACATATAAATCTGGAGCTCGGGGTCAGACACGACGAGAAATCCTGCGACTGGCTGGAGCTGCTGCGGACATCTTACGCAATAAGACCTTTCTTCAAGTTATTTTTCCTTCGGAAATCTGTATGCGGCTCGCTTTCGATCGATTGACGAGATCTAGACTCCCATATCGATGCGATGAACATCGAGAGCTGGCACCCGTTGATAAGCCTCCGCTACCACCACAGGACTTGAAAGGATACTTGATGTATAATCATGAAGAAGTCGTCTTCTGGCCGGACCTGCGTCGTCGAATTGTGGACTTCATCGATGGTGTTGATAAAGCGGGGGCTGTGGGATTATATTGTGACAGGATTGTGGACGAGGGTACTGGCCGTAGGAGGCGGAATGGAACTGGTGGCTCTGCGAGCTCGGAGGGTGGTTCTGAGAACTCCTTTCAACTCATTCCACCTGCTATAGATCCCGATACACCTGCACCGCTGAAGATCCTCATGATCAATGATCAGGACCCGCGAAAAAGGTCGAGTCCAAATGACTTCTGTCCGTATGGTCCCGAAGATCCTGAGCTAACAGCGGTTCAAAATCAGTATAACTGCCAAGGGGTGCTTGGTAAGTTCTCTCCTCCAACTCAAAGTAGTCCTAGATCTATCACCCGAGCAATTTGAAACACCTCCGTCTTCCTTCCGAAAGAGAATATGAAGATACTAATCCGTAGACACAGATGACTGTCATGGGCTGAGAGAAGAGCCTCGTCACCTGAGCGAGGACCAGATCTTGGAATGGTATAAGGGGAGAGAGTTGGAGCATAGAACATTCTTTCCTACAAGAAGCTCCGAATCTCCTGATGCTAGAAAGATGATTGATTATTAATGTTCATGGGTGCTTCCTCGTCGTGGCTAAACGTCTGAGAATATGAACTATTGGACTTCTTGTTGTGCGGTTGTGATTCTGGATATCAGGTCAGGGAAAACTGGGTTAGAGAGAGGCAGAGAGAGAGAGGTTCTGGTCGTTATCCATAGCACGGCGGAATTATATAGGAATCACTAGTGAGGTTTTAATAATGATTTTAATACCGAGCCTGATAAGGATAATATTCTTCCCCCCTTGATTTTCAAGTTCCTTACTCTCCCTTTACGCACCAAAATATCCCAACTTCGCCGGTAGAAAAGTAAATGGACCGAGATCCCAAAAGTCGGAGGACTAGTAAGACTGCTACGACGTTACGAGAGAACTCGGAGGTGCGCAAGGAGAAGAGTACTACAAGAACCCTGCTAAGAGATGAAATACGATGCTACGAGATAACCCGGAGGTGTGCAAGGGGAGAAGAGCACGAACAAAACTAAGCCAAGCGAGGAAATTTCGTAAACTTATAACATCGATGAAAACTCCCCTTCCCAACGTCTTGGTCCTCTCTAAAAGTTGAAGGACATAACTGATTCCTTGAGTTTTTATTAGATTAGAATTTTGTAGACTGTTCTTATCTTGATAGTTAGAGTTATCTTTACTATATAAAGGGATTTAGTGGATTTTTTAATTACGTGATCATATTGTGAGTGTAGAGAAAATGCTGGATTCTTGGGAGATTGACAGGTTTAATTTGTGATGATTTGAAGTGAGTAGTATATCTGCTGATACTACATGGTCGTGCGCGGGAAGAGTTCAAGCTGGGAGATCACATTTTTTGGTTATAGAAGGTTATTTCTTGATATGGTTAGCTGATTGGCCATGCTGGAGCCTAGAGGGGCAGTGGTTTGTTTGCGAAAGACAAGCCTGAGGAAATTACCATATTCTGGTATCATGTTACCTACGATCGCTTCACTTTCCTTAATTCTTCTCTACTTCTTCTCACTACTACTTACGCCATATTCTCCATTTTTAAATTTCCTTGGAAAGGCGTGATCAAATCAAGGCATAGCAATTCTCGTGATCACAGATGACTCTTATATCGATGTCCCCAGCCTCCCATGGAGACCTTCTTATCTACTACCGTAGTAAATCGAACTTAAGAAGGATGGTGGGGTGAGCGGGTGGAGTACGGAACAGTGTGAACTAGAGTAAAGTAGAGGCTTCTACTTGCTAGAAGTTGTTCTTCTTATGCATAGGAGATTGCGCTGAGCGAGGGACCCGTAGAAAGCTGTTCTCTAAGTGGCCTACCATGTAGTTTTAGCACTCCACCCGCTCACCCCAGCATCCTTCTTAAGTTCGATTTACTACAGTACGGTATCGAAAGGGATGGCCATAGTCGGAAGGACGACCCGGAGTTTGTGATCAGTAGTATTTTGGCTCCTTTTGGAATTTGTCGTACGAGTACTCTGAAGAAAAGAGGGTCTAGACTGCGTTTACGATGACAATTTGCTGAAATTGCGTCGGATTGCAGCCGTTGCTTACTGTTGCAACCTGTATTTTATCGGCTGACACGCTTCATGATTCCATTTCGGACAAAATTATGCAGTGTACTTACCGTGTCTGTTGTGGGTCAGTTGGAATGGTCTAGCATATAAATATATGGTTTCTCAAGAATCATATTTCTCATTCCATTCATTTATCTTCAGATCATTGAAACCACCAAAGCTTTATCGCATCCACTGATATCCAATCCATATTACGACCACACCTATCAAAATGATCACCAATCACCAATCACTTCTGTTGGTATGTTGACTAAACTCCGTCAATTCATCTAGATCTGCTCAATCTAACGATTTCCAGGCCCCAGTTGCATATCTTATCCCATATGGCGTCCACTAGGATCATCAAATCTAGCTTCGATACACTCTCTCCGTGTACCTTCGCCCAAGTAATGGAGAAAGATCAAACGATGGATCAAGCAGTAAGTTATACCCAACGCGTCCAACCCTTTTGTAGCTCAACAGATATCCTAGGCCAAGAATTATATCACCCGCGTCAATGGTGCAAAACAAAATGGTTTCGAGGGAATCGGTTTCTTCGCTGCTGCAGTTGTTGCTGGTAATCTTGCAGGGCTCCCAGAGAAGCAATTGTATGGGTTGGGTGCGGGGTATCTTGTTAGTCGGGTTCTTTATACGGCTCACTACATTGTGAACACGAATCCAAAGTTGGCAGTTTTGAGGAGTTTGTTGTGGCAGGCTGGTGTTTGGCAGGTTATTGCTCTTTACGCTTTGAGTGCGATTAATTGACCTCAAAAATATTAGAAAGACTCAAGGGAAATATACACTTTCTTGATGTTGGTATCTAGATAATGAAAGGACAGTCAACTTTTCCCGTTCAAGTGCTTCGAGTGCATAAATCTTTCAGAGGCATAAGGTCGTTGTCACAAAGAATAGTAGGGTGTGTAGTATTATTTTATATCAATCCTAGTTGCGAAGTCAGCAGTCCAGATGTGAGAGCATGAATAAGAAAAGGGGTTTAAGCGACTCATCAAGGTTATGGCGAACGAAATATCCTGGCAATAATAAACTTCCCGAATTCTTTGGGAAGTCAAATGCTAACTTTTCTCGGTAAGGAAATCGGACGGGTAGTTACGACATGAGAATAAATCAGAAGCGTTATCATATGGGTAGAGATTCAACGCAACCTCAAGGGACGATAAAAACTTCGGAATTTTTACCGAGTAGACTCGGCTCGAAAGGCGGATAGATTCCTGAGTCTATAAAATATCAGAAAGATAAAAAAAAATACAAGTAAACTCTAGCTTGACTTGCTTATATTTCCACTACTGCTATACATTTTTTCTCATTACGTTGTTATGATTTAGTTGTTAGAAGGCGCAAAAAGAACCTAAAGTTTTAGAGGAACAAATCAGGAAATCTTTTGCGTCCCCGCAGAGGTACTGTAACCCTGTATGACATGTTTTCGTTAATTGTGGGTTGGTTGTTGTAACCTCTGCTGAAACTGCTTCGCCCTATAATGTTTTTATCACATATCTGTGCTGCTTGCCGTATCATACTAGGGTCGAAAAGTGAATTTTTGCTTGTGTTAGACCCAAGATAATGAAGACATTCCGTACCTAGTGAATATTTTTATTAGCTCTAACTTTAACGTACTTCATAAGGAGTCCGGATTTATAAGCAGTCCGGATTTTTTACCCCACCATCCAACTTTTAAAAACCATAGAACTTTAACCACTTAATATTTATTTATATAAACTATACTATCTTTCTTATTCTCGATCTAGGCACCTAGGAGCAGTATGCGCTAGTGATCTACATATACTACAGGTTCGTGGTGCACGAATTCGTGGTTCAATTAGCGGGGCCACAGCTTCATCCAAAACCATATTATTGTGAGAGGCCAGACCTTGAACAGCTCAAAGGTGTGGTTTCGAATATTGAATTAAGAAGTGCGTGAAGACTACATACATGCAATCTCTTCCTCTATATATAGAGAGAGGAAGAGTTTCTGGGGTCTTCCAAGAAACTGTTTGACAAATACGTGACGTCAGAAGAACAAAACAAGAAAGTGTGGAATGGTGGAAACCTGTTTGGCGGTGGGGTAATGGCCAGTGCTAAGCGGGGACTTTGGTCAGTGCTTAGCGAGGGCATGGCCCGAGCCTCCATCATGGGTTCCAACCCTCACA